TTACATACCTTTTGTTAGTGGTCAAAAGGTACTCAGTATCACAACTTGACTCAATGCCGATTAGCGAAAGTGTATCAATGTTTCGCATATATCGACATGTTGCGTGATCTTTGGCGTCTACTGTATGTGAAACATTATCACCCTTAACTGGTAAGGGTATAATGAGCTTTTTCGGAACTCAGTGTTCTGCCAGTTTTGGCCGTAAAGACCAGCTGTATTTTCTAAGAAATCTTGTGTAATAGGCATGGCTAAGTAGGGCTTGTTTAATACGGGCAACTACGGCGGGTGGGCAAATATTCCAGGTTTCGTTTCCATTGTATTGACACAAAAACTGTTTAAATGTAAGCATTGCCCTTTCCGGGAATTTTTGTGGAAAATATGGCGCCTTATTTAACCATCATCCCCTCTGAACAGGAGGAGGAGGAGGAGGAGGTCTTGTTGGCGGAACCTAATGCGCTGCTTCACTTACATCATTAACTTAATCGTCGGATGTAAATTATTCATAAAACCAAGATATTCGGTGCCTACGAAACCAAACCAACTAAGGCATATTTATCTTACCTTGGTGGTATTTAACTAAACTGAAATTAAATTAAACTAATGATAACCTAAAAACTTAACTAAAACTAGAGTAAAGCTTATTATAATTAGTAAATTTTATTAAAATAATTTGGCAGAAAGCAGAAAGGAATCTAAAGTCGCCTGACAGGCAGAGAGTTTAGGACTAGGCGTTGAACAGATCCCTTGCAGTCGGACGGCAGGCGACAAGAGAAAGTGCCCGAACCGCCGCCAATCTCCTTTTTGGACGACCTGGCATAGCGCCACTAAGCAGCAGCGAGTGCGGACTGTCTCCTCCGTGAGGAACTCAATGTAATTCACTCGGGTGGTGAGAAGCCATTGCTTTCCGCCAATCTTCCACGCAAGCATAGCCCCGCTGAGAGAGTAAGGGGGGAATGTAGGCACAGGCAACCCCTTACCTCAATAGGGCCTCCGTCAATCATGCGCATGCCTGTCCCCCTAGGGGCCAGAGCGACGCGGAGAAAACTTATGGCCACCGGGAAGGGGGGGGTGGTGCTACAACAGCGTAAACATGTTGCGAGTAAAATAAGTACAGGAAAGAGTTAATTGAAAGCGAGGCGACAGGGAGAGTGCGAGAGTAGGGTGGTGGTTCCCCCAGGTGAAAGCAATTGCCTGGCGGGCAGGGAGATCGGAGTGTCGAGAGGTATGCAGTCAACAGAATGAACAATGGTCCTAGTATGTAGGTTAGCG